TTCTATTCTAGAGAAAATTCAAGGCGATTTCTCACATGCCCTAAAAAAATTGCCTTGCCCTTCTCGTCGCTTAATTCGAGCCCTGCTTAGGAGTGTCCAGTTTCGGGCGAGCGTCCAAACCCTATGGTACAGCGTTTTGCTGTGACCTATTACGGGATAATTCATAACAAAGAACAAGCTGTGATTGGCTGAGGCGCGGGCCGCCATATTGAATCCCCTTCGAATCCACCTCGATAGCAGGGTCGGGTTCGGTGAATCGAGATCCGTGGATCCGACCAAACAAACAGTCAGATCCACGGATCCAGTGGATCGAAATCCGTGGATCCGACCAAACAAACACGCCCCAAGTACCTAACAACATTCGTCAATACAGACGCCTTTCGAAATATTTACGGTAACCGTTTCTGTGACTACCGGGTATGTCCTATTTCTTCTTTGTCCTACTCCTACTCCTAGTCCTAGATCTAACCGCGGCTAACGAGTAACTGCATGTAACGTACAAAAATAACATTATTATTAATATTATAATACTAGGACTAATTTAAATAAATATTTCATAATTTAATTAATTAATATAGAGTATAATTCATAAACGTCATTATCAATGACAATATTATGATTTAATATGTCTTAGTGTCTATGATGACATTGTCATTGACAGTCAGTGAGTCACAATGAGTGAATGACGGAACTAGGCACCTCTGAACTCCATTGCTTTGGTCTCTGTATTCCTGTTGGCTTATAAGACTGAGCGGGCCTAACTGCCTGCTGCAGCTCTGGTGCAGATGTTGAGGCTGCCATATATATATATGTCAAACAAAATAAGACTGTCAAAGCTTTTTGAGTGCCCCGAGTTCAACACAACTGCGGAACACAACAGTAAAATACACAAACATTTGTTTAACCGTTCCTTAGTAACGCCATTGCGGCGCCACCTACAGTTTGTTTGCAGCAAATGTTACCGTGATACATGAAAATCGCCTAACCTCATAATGTTTAGTCTTCAAGGGACCAGTGGATTATATCAGGAGTCTATAGACTCCTGATTATATCGGAGACGAAGAGCGACAAACTTAATCAAATAGACAGATAAATACAGTGGATTGTAGTAAAAATATATACAATAATGCAAAAATAATGTTA